TGAATAGCAAGAAAACGGCGACGCGCAGCCCCGCCAAATTTTCAGTAGCTTGCTGGTAATCAATTTGACACCTTCACATAAAATCTCAAGTCTTAGGTTACCTTAGGTCAGGAGTTATTGAGGTCAAACTGAGGTCATGTTCGAGCAAAAATGAGCAAAAAAAAAACATGAAATCTTGAAACGCGGCTCATAAAAGCTACAGTTAACAAGGAATTTCAAAAGCTCTCTACCTAGTCGTGTAAAGGAAAGACGGCGCTACAAAACTGCAATATGGAATTTTCAAACTTTTGAGATTTAGACCCCCAAATAAAAAATTGGTCTGGTATAAAATAGCAAAAACAAAAACAAAAGTTCTTCGAATTAAAAAATGGAATATATATATATATTAGTCCCTGCTTTCTTCGATCTACATAACAAATTGTAGATCAATATCTCCTTTATTGACCAAGTTTTAGCGAAAAAAAAACAGTTCAAAATTGATGACGTCAATTTTAACTCAATTTTTAGCAATTCTAGACCACGTAGCGCAAAACAAAGACCACTATTAGCCTTCCCGTGACGAGCTGCATCGAATCGATACCCATTTCAAGCCAAAAGGTATTTCCTCGTTGGGGCAATCCAACACCGCTTGCTGCTTGTCGCTATTTTGCGTGGTTCTCGAAATCTTGGGGGGGGGGCAAAATAATCCTCCCTCCCCCCCCCCAATGGGACCGATGCTTGGTAGACCCTGACGGGGCGCGGGTTAAATGACAGAACTGTTCCCAAGAAATAGCATTACAGTCGTCTCCCGGCCTCAATGGTAAGCGGCTAAAACTTTGAACGACTACCTATGGATCGGCACGCTGCCGGCTCACTCCGCCCGCTGGCTACGGGTGGCCTTGACCGTCCAATGCCGATTGGCCAACGGCCGAGGTCGTGGGCTGGTCAGCACGCAGAGAGGACGGGACGCGGTACTGCACATTGTGAGTGACCTCTGACCTTTCCCCGTCCCCTGACCGCATGCCGTGTCGCCGGCCCAGACGATAGAAACCGGTTCTAGCCTCTACGCAGGCTGCCACTCTGACCCTTCCCTCCCCACTTTACTATGTGTCGTAGTACGCACTCGCGAGTAACTGGGCGGAGCAAATGGTCACCGATACAGAGGCGGAACTGGTTGCCCTCCCGCTCGCCGAGCGACCTACCGCTAAAACCCGCGAGACCTGTACACCCGACTCGGCGTATTTCTCTTTAGTGGAGCCTTTCGCCGAGGTGACGCCGGACGTCGTGTCATGTCAAATACCGGACCCGGCGAATCATTCTTCATACGAGTCCGCTGCCGCTGTAGGTGGTGCCTCTGAGCCATCACCGCGGCATGCATCATCGCAGTCCCTAGCTTCGTCTTCCTCACTGTCACCAACGCCTCCATCACCATCACCACCATCAGAACTGCCAACCACCTCTCTACTTCCACCATCACCATGTCCTCCAACATCATCACCCTCATCACAACGATCACCGTCACCAATATCACCAGCAGCAGCCTCTCGACTTTTATCCTCTCCATGTCCTCCAACATCATCCATCTCTTCACCACCCTCGCCGTCACCAGGAGTCTTCGACTGCGCCTGTGAGCTTCATCGTCACATCACCACCGCGGCTGCCTGGCTGGGGCAGCATCCACACCTCGACCCCGCCGCAGTGCTGGAAACCTTTCTCGCCATGCCGCATGTCCGTGAGCTGACCGACCAGCAACATAGTCGGATCGTCGAAAACGGCGAAAAACTGCTGCGGGTGGCGTTCGGAGCGGTACGAAGACGGTGCGGAGGCGAAAGAAGGAACGGAGTCGGTGGTAGGCAGCGAGGAGAGAAGGGATGCATGGTGGTAGACAAAAGGAGAGTGAATGACGAGGAGCGGAGAGGCAAGAGAACTGAACGCGAGCATGGTGGAAAGGAAGACGGAGCAGGTTGTTCACCAGAACCAAGGACTGGCGAACAAACAAAAGTCAGCCACACGCCTCACGACACATACAAGAGGCCCAAGAGCAAAACTAGCCAAACAGAAGCACCGAACAGAACACGCGGCTGCCAGGAGCCCTCCGGCAGCAAAACGCCTCAGCCTAGAACGTCACCACCTCCTCTGCGGCTGCCCCTGCCGACGGACCAGCCCGAGTGCACCTGTGCCGACCTCAGTGCCCTGTCTGTGACGCATGTGTGGCTCTCCGGGAGCACTCGAGAAGCCTCCGACGTGCGACTAGTAGGCTGTGGCGAGAAGGCTGACTTGGACGTGATGCTGGCACTTGGGCCAGTCGAAGCGAAAATGGAGGGAGAGAGATTTGCGTCGGTGAATCCAGCAGAGGAGATGGAGGAGGGAGCGAGAGCCGGGACTGGGAGAGCGAAGGGCAAGACAGGGAAGACGAATACTCTACAAGAGGCTGTCAGGTCAAATATCGTCGAAGATAAACCGCGACAGTCCCAGCCAAATACAGCACAGAAACATTGTGGCCAGCAAACGTTTGATGCATTCCCCGCAAACGTCCCCAAATCGAGTCGATGCATTGACCCCCTCTCGACGCCGGCGGAGCCATCGCTACGGCTGATTGCAGAGCCCTCCAGCCGGCCTGGGTTTCTACTGCTGCGGCACCCTCTGCTACCTTCCTGCAGACACCGAGAGCCTCTATGCCTACCCAGCAGCCGCGTGCGACGTCTCATGGACGCGTTCGGCGCTGGCGTCAGCCGAGGTCGGCGCGACCAGGTCGGGCCGGCCGTCTCAGGCACAGTGAAGAACCTGAGTTCGAGTGTCGCGAGACTGGCCATTGACGTGGTGGGCTGTATGCCGCTCATCGGCGGCTGGGACTGGACCGAGTACGCCGCGCGGCACAGACCCTCTGGCCGGCCGTGTGCGGGGACGGTGAGACGTCTGTGTCGGACCCCCGTGATGGCGGTGCCGGTGGGGTTCCCAGGAAGTGGTCTTGAGGACGAGGAGTGGCGTCTCTCCTTCTCGCAACACGAGTACGCTGTGTACCGCGCTATGTCCTGGCGGCAACGTCGCTGTCTGATCGCGCTCAAGTACTGCCGTGCGGCGTGCGGCGGCCCGGCCAGCACCGTCAAGAGCTATTACCTGAAGACAGCGCTGCTGTGGCGCTGGGAGACGGCCATTGCCGACACTTGGGAGCTCTCTGCACTCTATGACACCCTGCTCGCCCTGCTGGAGTTCCTCCAATCGGCTGTTTCGCGCGGACACCTCCCCTGCTACTTCCTCGTCGAGATCAACCTGCTGGCCAGTCGTTCCCCTCCCGAGCTCCACCAGCTCTCCGAAGGACTCCGCGTCATGCGTCAACATCTGCTGAGCTCTCTCCTCGCCATAACCAGCGTCTGGAGCCGCTGTGACATCTCCCACCTCGGCGAGTGCTGTCTCTCCGGCGAAGGCCCGACTGAGGTCGCCAGCGTGGCGCAACAGTTCGCCCTCTCCGCGTCACCCCAGCCGCTGGTGCGCAAACCGTTCGACACCCTCCTCGCAGGTCTTCTGGGCGCGCAGACCGGCTCTGCACCCGTGTGGTCACTCCTCACGCCGCTGTTCCAAGTGGTGCGTCTCTCGTGGCTGGGTCCGTCTCTGGCAGCCGAGGCGGAGCGGCAGCGGCAGCCGGCGACGCAGAGGAAGCAAGGCTGCGATTCCGTGGCGTCACTCAGTCTGCCCAAGGAGGCGTGTGGGTGGGTGGAGTCGATGTTGCTGATTGCACAGCATAGCGGCGAGGCGGCGAACGCAGAGGGAGTCGACAGTTGGCTACTGGATGACGTGGAAGGATGGGAGCAATGATAGTGGTGGTCCTGGTCCATGGTAATCCTCTGATAAATGAAGCTAGGGTCACACAAAACAGAGACGGCGACAGTAAAACCGATATGTTGCGACGTGACTGTTAGCACAAGTGAATCAAAGCCGGAGATTTGATGTCAGTGTTCCATTATGAAGGCAAAGTGTTGCCACATGATGCTGCCATATGCTGCGAACAGAATAGTCAGTAGCATACAACCGTGTCCAACTAACTCACGCCATCCGCTGCAGTTCATGAAAGAACGTGATGCCATCATAGGACTAAGGCCAGGCACTACGAGGCCCGTGCGTTTTATGTTTTGGGGCTAGTGAGTAGTGATTTACCAGCCACTTTATGAAGCCATTGACGTTGCGTTTCTCCATAGTGCCCTGTTTAGTTTGTATATACTCGTATGTAATATTCCATACAGTTCAAACTTCGTGCCATTCATGATACGAACGAAATCGAGCTTTCATTCATACCAAATGCGTGAACAATTGTGAAAACTTCTCGCTTTTCCAAGTGTTATCAATTACCATGACGAAAAATGATGCACCATTTACTCTAAATACCTACGTATGTTGTATACCCTTTGTGCCATGTAGGTACTCGTTATAAAATCTACCAAAAAGCTTTGACACAGATATGCGTGGGTCTTACAGAAAATCTTAATTATTTCAAGAATCGTATAATCCGCGCCCGCGTTCATGTGCCATATGGTTGTGAGGTGTGACGCAGTTGTCAGCTGTCGGCTGCAGACAGTTGCGATTTCTGACGCCCGACTATTTTAGGGTTAAAATGAATACTCGTATAGCCACATGGCCATAACTCAACCCACCGATGTCATGAAGACGACGTGGCGAATACCTTAATGCCCCTGGATGACAAAAAAAAAAAATCGGCAAAATCACTAGGACCGAGCACTGCAGTCACGCCTTTACTACAGACCGAGGGCTGTCCAAATAACTAATAAGGCTTGCTCCACGACATCAGCTGTTGCTGGTTTATCAAAGTGTACACAGTGTACAATGTACATAGGTGTAAAAGTGAACAACAAAGCCGTACACGAAAAAATGAATACGCACCGGAAGAGACCTGTTTGCTACGTCCTACATGCTTTCATACTCGTATATCATTACCAACCACAGCCTGCTGCATTACCGCATTTATGTGCTACTGTTGCAAGCCAGTCTATGATTATGCAGAAACTGACCTGGTACAGCTCAAAGTTGTCCATGAACGCAGCCAGTTTGGTGGCGCTTTGCCGTCCGCTGCCACCGATCCCAACCAAAAGGGCGTGACCTGGACAAAGGCCGCGGGTCAGATTGGAGGGTCACCTGACCTGACTTACCACAATGAAATGGTGCTTCGCATGTCTACCACGGACCTGGGTTTAACGTTTACCTCCTAGGTTATGTGCACACTTAGCAATCAGACAGCACACCTTTCTCATTCTTAAAACAAGCTTATGCATTGACAGGCAAACACCTGGAAAGCTGCATCTCTATACTCGTACACCATCGCATCCAAATGAAATGAAACAAACGGAGAGATTGGCCTCACCTTCAACCGCAAGTGCATGAGATCATTTCCGCCTACTGAGTGCCTCACTGTGTCAGTTATAGAGGAAATGAGTCCAGTTCCGACCAAGGGAGAGATATGTCACAAGTCGGAAAGGACGTGTGACGTCAATACTTTCCTGGCTGGCGGGCCGGAATGTTTACCACAAGGATGACTCATTCAGTTGGGTAGACAGGCAAACAGAGAAGACACGGTGGTATTGGCACCATCGGTTATCAGCATTCTGAACGAGCGATTTGTGACTTTAACCCTCGCCGGCACAGGGGGGTTGATGCACCCCCCCCCCGCTAAGGTGTTTCGCGAATAACTCGCGTAAAAAGCGGCCGATCCGCGACGAAACTTTCAGTACCCTCGCATTGATCAATTTTACACCTACGCTGAAAATTTCATGACCCTGACCCAAATGACCTTTGACCTGTGACCTCTTTTCCGAGACCATGTTTGGCCGGAATCGCGATTCGGCGTATGTCGGCTCGCATTAGCCGCGCGTTTGCAAGCTTTTCGTGGTTTCAAACGTTCAAACATGTGATTTGATGTTGCTCCCATACATTAGGGTGGGTGTCAAGGTCACCTGAAGGTCAGGTCAGGTCATTGACCTTTGGTGACCTCGGGTGACCTCGGTTCACTTCTTCGAATTTTACACGTTTCTAGGCTAGTTTTTGGAGCTGAATTCGAATTTAGCAGCCATTTGAACATTTTGGTGCCTTCGTAACATGTTACGAAGCTGTGAGAGGCGGTTGACACGTACCTATTACGAATACCCTCACAACCCCTACCGGTTGACCTGACCTGACCTGACCCGACCTGGTCTAAATGCCTAAAGACATCATCTCTGATCAAAACTAGCACGATATTCGTGATCAGCACCCCGGAAAACCACATAGCAGCCACACTTTACGACTTTCTAACAGGTCACGATTTTCCAGGTTTTCGGGTCATTGACCTGACCTGAAAGGTCACCCGATGACCTAGGACCTTAAAATTGGGTATCATCGGCTTCCTCTCGTGACGGGCAACACGCTCGTTTTTTCCGCGAACATCTAGCTCGTTCAGGGGCCAAACGCGAGGGGGGTCGTACCCCCCCCCCCCCTGTGCCGTCGAAGGACGCAAAATGGCCTGTGCCGGCGAGGGTTAAGTATGATAAGCCCTGTAGACGGCAGTTGAACCAAAGACAAAGGCAATGGAGAACAGGAAAATAATGACGTGAAAAAATTACTCCGCCCTTTTCCCTCTCAACCCGCCCAACCTCATGCCATTCCTGTCAAATCCCGTACCACTGTCATCACATTTCGCTTCAATCCAATCGCCGCTCGCCACCCTATGCTAATTTCAATCGCGTTTCTTCGCCATTCTATCTTTACTCGCTTATCGTCCCTCACCCCTACTCACCGGAATCCTGCTTGAGCACGCGACTGATCCGACTAATGTGCTCGATGATGAACTTGAACATGACCAGGTTCATGGGGGTCTTGCTAACCATATTGTACTCGGCTAGGTAGCCCTCCATGACCTCCGTCAGTGCCTCCAGATCCGTCACCTGGTGGAGAGGAAAGGAAGAGTGTTGAATCTAGCGTGACCTAGACTGTGGGAAGGGATGAGTGAGGGTGGAAGTGCGTCAACACTGAACACAGACGCCAAATATTTATCATGTGTGAATACTGAGCATACCAGCTACGGGACAGGGGACAGATAGGCTGAGATGGATTGAAACGTTAGAACGACATAAAATAAGATGGGTCGGTTCTAAAACAACAATGCGTTTATGTAAAGAAAACGATACTTTTGCTCGAACTTGAGGTAACAAACAATTTAGCTTCAATTCAATTATACAACTGCATTTTATCGGAGCTTGTCGTAGTGACAACAAACAGGTATCGCGATCTGCTCTACCCCAGCCTATCCGGTATCACAACTCTATGTCAGCACGAAGCAGCAGAACTCTAAGTCCAAGAAACCAAACGACATTGCCTTCAATTGCAAGAAACCAAACAATATTTCCTTCTCACCTCATCATATATTTTGGGGTCGTTGTCCGGGTAGAGGTAGTCGCCGAAGAAGAGGTTGCGCACGTGGTCCTCAGTGAGTCGGCGCCCCTCGGGGGCCAGGTGACCGAGCACCTTGTCCACGGGCTGGTGGAAGCAGGCGTCACACGTGGCCGCGATCAGCGTGAAGAATGCAGACCTGGGGACGGATAATGGGGGTCCCAGAGGTGGGGTCGGTACTGACTGTGGTAGACTGTTGGAAGACACACTTAGGGAACATTGAAAAGATGTGAGATAGAAGCAGTGCAGGTTGAATGTATGAACGCATGCATGAATGTTGAATGCATGTGTGAGCTGATTAACATGCAACGATACAGTTGGGATGAAAGGTATACGATAAAATTACTCATGCCAGAAAACATGCGCACAGCACCATGAGGCGATTGAAATAATGGGGCAGACTTCCTAACCACTAATATTGCTGTCAGTTCAATCAAATGAGAAATAACAGCAGAGGAATATTAAAAAAATAAACCCTATAGAAAAGAGTGAGAGCCGCCAGTTTATCCCGACCATGATCTTCGATAGATAGTCCCAGCCCCCCCCTGGCTCTCAGCCCCACCGCCACCCCCCCCACGCGGCCGTTCCTGGATCCGCCTCTGCCAGTTAACCGTGACGTCACGCGACCTTGCCCTGAGGGCCAGCCGCCCCAGCAGCTGATCGCGGTCGCTCGGCGGCAGTGCGCGTCGGCGGCAGGCGGCGCGGACGCGCGGTGGTCGCTCGCGCTTTGATTGTGTGCTGTGGTGATGAACTGGAGATCGGGTAAGTTTGATACATGAAGCCTGATCTTCTTATTGTATATGCATTTGTGAGGTAATAGTGATAAGTTGATATAATTTAAACATCCATGCTGCGATAGGAAACGGTTTTATTGTAACGAATCAAAATGCATCTTCTTGGCACTTTTCAACAACTGAGTGATATTTGAGAAGAATATGGGGTCGTACAAATTGATAGTGCATTATGTGTGTAATCAATTTTACTATCCCGCGAGTTGCTGGGGGGGGGGGGCGTTAAACGCCCCCACTTTTTTCGCCGGGTCATAGCATAAAAACGGCGCGCCGCAGGCGCGCCAAATTTTGGGTACCTGTAGAGAATTGATTGAAGTTTATTGTGACAAAGTTTCAAAAAAATCGGTCGGAAAATTTTTGAGATATCGAGGTTTTAGTGACGTCATGATTTCTGGGTTTTCGACCAAAAACGGCATATGTTCAAAAAATCATATAAAATCACAGAATAGACATACAGACATGCCGTAAACGCCATTAGACTGCCAATACCATGACCAATCAAATGGCTATCTTCAATTATTGATTATCGTTCCGCATTTTCCAAAATCTTGAACTGAATCTTGGCAATTTTTCGTGACCATGATACATGAATTTCTTAAATTGAACTTTTTGAGCCAAACACGTACACATATGATAAAATGAATGTCACCATCGTGTTCTACGCCCCAAATTACCTATAAAACATGTGTCACAGGCCGCGAATATCAGTTTTGATTTTCGGGGATATGTGCCTACCCGGTTGACCTCAGTAGGCGGAACTATGGTCAAGCGTACCCATTTTCGGGAACGCATTTTCGTTCCCATGTTTGGGAACGATAAACCCAAATATGGGAACGCCATGTAGGCATTATTTAAAACAAGAAAAAGAACCGTTAAATGACGTCCAAAAAATATAAAACGATTGTGAACCGCCTGATATTTGTCTCAATATTGTTGGGAAAGAGTTTGATATTGTAAGGCCCATCGTAGTTTCAAATCGTTCCCCTATTTATAAAGCAGTCCATCATCCGGGCCGCGAGCCCAAATTTGGGAACGCTCTCGTACACTGGCGCTGCAAGCGTTCCTTATTATGGGAACGGCGTACCCAAAATTGGGAACGATTTCACCGACGCCTTTCAGGGGCTCTTTTCATTAAAAGCATCACGTCCAACGTCGCAAATTATTGTTAACGCAACAATCATGAGATGACCTTTCCGGCAAGACCGTCGCATGTTTCGCCCGGTCTTCCGTGCTTTTATTCCCGTCGATCTCGCAGCGGGTACGCCCCCCTCTGCAGGATTACGTAATTCACAACGCTCAGCGATGTTCAAGGTCTTCCATACCTATATCCACCGTCCGCGCCGAGGGTGGAGACATGTCAAGCACCTGTCTGTTTATCACCGATAGTTGACGAGCACAAGGAAGTATCCAAAAATGGGAACGCTGAATATGTTACACCCTCAAAACACCTAGTCCCAATGAAAATCTAGTTTTTTCCTTTCTTGATGAGTGTAAGTGGCAAAAGGCCTGGTAGGATGGGCACGAGGAATGATCGAAATCAGCATAGAAATTATAAATAAGCCACACAGAGCGACCTATATAAGAGAAATTCCCCCAAAACGATCACGCTTAGAAACACGGAAGACAAAAACCACGCTCATGACGCTCCTTATAAAACAACTCTAAACAGCTAGCATCCAAATAAAATATGTCTTTCTGGGATGATAAAATACAGCTGAATAATTTTAAACCACTGAAACTGAGTTTACAACAGTAGTTCGGTAAAATCACTGACGTTCCATGCGGTCGTGCGCCCCGACACCAAATGTCACCAATATTACCCCCGGACTGTCCGCGTGTTCGCTTGCATATGTCAGCATCTGGTGTTGCTAGTATGAAACTTCATAACCAGGCGAAAATTATTATACTTGACCTCAAAATGTAAAAAACGCTTCATTTTCCTTAAAATTGCAAGTTAACCCTCGCATGTGTGCGGCGTTTGCCAGCTTCTAATGTGTAGGGGGGGGGGGGGTCGGTTGGACCCCCCCCCTTGCCGTTTGGCCCCTGATCGAGCTAGAGCTTCGCGGAAAAAACGAGCGTGTTGCCCGTGACGAGAGGAAGCCGATGATACCCAATTTTAAGGTCCTAGGTCATTGGTTGACCTTCCAGGTCAGGTCAATGACCCAAAGTCGGGAAAATCGGGACCTGTTAGAAAGTCGTAAAGTGTGGCTGCTAAGGGGTTTTTCGGGGTGCTGATCACGAATATCGTGTTAGTTTTGATCACAGATGATGTCTTGAAGCATTTAGACCAGGTCGGGTCAGGTCAGGTCAGGTCAACCAGTAGGCGTCGTGACGGGTATTCGTAGTACGTGTCAACCGCCTCTGACAGCTTCGTAACATGTTACGAAGTCACCAAAACTACTTCGTAAATGTTCAAATGGTTGCTAAATTCGAATTCAGCTCCAAAAACTAGCCTAGAAACATGTAAAACTCGAAAAAGTGACCCGAGGTCACCCGAGGTCACCAAAGGTCAATGACCTGACCTGACCTTCAGGTGACCTTGACACACACGGGAGTAACATCAAATCACATGTTGGAACGTTTGAAACCACGAAAAGCTTGCAAACACGCGGCTAGTGCGAGCCGACGTACGCGAAATCGCGATTCCGGCCAAACATGGTCTCGGAAAAGAGGTCACGGGTCAAAGGTCATTTGGGTCAGGATCATGAAATTTTCAGGGTAGGTGTAAAATTGATCAATGCGAGGGTACTGAAAGTTTCGTCGCGATCGGCCGCTTTTTACGCGAGTTATTCGCGAAAAACCATGGGGGGGGGGCTCCATCCGACCCCCCCTACACATGCGAGGGTTAAATGTAGTATAACCCATGTTTTCACCATTCCGTCATTTCAAAAAATCATCAAAAATATCATTCGACGGTCAATTTCCTTGTGCAACGGTCAGATTAAAGATAATTTTATAGAGACTTAGTAGATACTTAAATTAGCGTGCACTTTTTTGAGACGTGATGCACTAATGAGTTTTAGTGGGCGAACGGCCGAAAAATTACCTTCCGTTCCCATAAATGGGAACGCCCGTTCCCATATTTGGGAATTCCGTTCCCAAAAATGGGAACGTTCCTATATTTGGGTACTCATGACCATAGTTCCACCTACTGACCTGACCTTGACCCTGACCTATGCTTGACTGAACCCTGTATGGAGCTGACACTCTTGTAGGTCTTATAAGATGGATTGTGCACCGTTTTGACAGAGTTTATGGCGAGAGGCGCCCATTACGAAGTCCTGAAGTCCATGCTACTGAAAGCCCGATTTCAGGTGTTTGACCTGACCTTGACCCGACCTGTGACCTCAAAATTCAACTTTGAAGTACTCATCTGAAGCGTCTCGTCGCGCTCTTTCGTTTGCCGCCTCGTGCGTTTCGCTGCGCCTATTGGTTCTCGAGTTATCGGCTGGGGGCGTTTAACGCCCCCCCCCCCAGCAAACGGTGGGTGGCGAAATACCCCAGCAACTGCCGGGCTATATTTGTTACCATAATTGACCAGCTATGTCAGAAATTATTGGTCCGGTATTCAAAATTTCAACAGCGTTCAATAGCAACGGAGAAGCTGTCCAGAAAACACAACTTTTCAACCTTCCAGGCGGGGGGGGGGCAATCCCCCCTTTAGATTTTTTCAATATATCTCCAGAACCGCTGCGCCGATCGTCACCAAACTTTCAGTACCCTCCCGTGAATTGCTACTGCACATTGTGACCAAAAATTTTCCAAAGGCTATGATAGGTTGGCCGCTAATGACGTCAGAGTGACGTCATTTCTGCCATTTTCGACCCAAAAAAAGTTTGGCGGGAAGAGCTGTCAGGCCTACAGCTTTAGAGATACAGAAAAATATTACAACATAAAAGGTGTAGAATTAACAGGGCTACAAAACTGCCATCTCGGATTTCTGAAACTTTTGGATTTTGACCCCCAAAAATAAAAAATATATTTTTTTTAGCATAATAGCCGGAAATGCAAAAAAAAAATTGAATTTCGAAACCAAAAACGGAAAAAATGTGATAGTTCATACCGCCTTATATCCACATACCAAATTTGATATCGATGCCTCTTTTTTGGCCAAGTTATAGCGAAAAAACTTCAAAATTGATGACGTCAAAATTTAAACTCAATTTTTAGCAATTCTAGACCTCGTAGCACAAAAAAAGACCACCATTAACCCGCGCCCCACTGGGGTCTGCGTATAAAACGCCCTACTGGGGGGGCTATTCATAGCCCCCCCCCCCCTCCTAACTCCGAAACTACTGGGCCGATCGTCAAAATTCAAACGGCGTCTGATAGCCCCGGAAAAACTGTCGAGCGGAACCTAATTTCATTGACTTCGAGGTCACCGATGACGTCACAGGTTAGGTCAAAGTAAAAATTATTAGCATTTTGGCTTGTTCACGTTTTGGGATCTGGCCGCCGTCTTACAAGTCAGATCAGGCTCATTTTCGGATCACACACTCGGGAACAGATGCTCTACAGGGTGGCGCCGGTAAATAACCACAAATGTCAAACCTGTGTTACGAGGAAACTGTTTTGTGAAGAGCAATAATTTTTTGCATTCATGTTCCATTCTTTATGTAAATTGTTGTCCATAGCAAAAGGGAACGTTGCAGCTGAAGATAATAACGGAAGAAATGAAAAGGCACGCGGTCATTGTGGCGCTTCACGCCGGCAGCTAGGCATCCGAGGTCGCCAACTTCCTCAAGGTCGACAGAAGCCATGATTATAAAGTCAAGCGGAGCTTGGATGAGTCTGTGGGCGACATCCCGTCTGTGGCAAAGCGGAAGAAACATCCCCGACGATCTGATGCCGTCAGAGACGACGATTTCATTGCCAAAGTCGAGAACGTCGTCGACGATGACCCGACGTCGACGTCACCGTCGATGACGGTGACGTCGTGAAGCCCTGGATCGACCGAGTGGCTGAGGAAGG